CATACAGAATATAAAATAAAGAATATAAAATACATAAAGAATATAAAATACATACAGAATATAAATTACATACAGAATATAAAATAAAGAATATAAAATACATAAAGAATATAAAATACATAAAGAATATAAAATACATAGAGCAAAGTTAAGGATAAGCGAGTCTAAAGAGATGTGTTTTCAGAGCAGTCTTGAATAGAGAAAGAGAGGTGGTGTTTCTTAAGTCAGGGGGTAGAGAGTTCCAGAGATGAGGAGCAGAGCAGGTGAAGGTCCTGCTCCTCATGGTGGAGAGGCGGGCAGAGGGTACATGGAGGTGTAGTGAAGGAGCCAGTGGAGCTGCTGCAGGACTGGAGTGATGTGGTTATAGGAGGAGGTTTGAGTGATGACACGGGCAGCTGAGTTCTGGACCAATTGTAGCTTCTGGAGAGATTTGTTGGGGAGGCCATAAAGAAGGGAGTGGTCTTTGTTTTGTCCAACAGACCAAAGCAACACCCGCATTACTAAGAACCATCCATCCCGCTCCATCCTACCATCACTCACCAACAAGATGCTCTAGTTCTTATTCCGCTTGAACAAACTCACCAACCTGAAGGGAGCATTCCACCTTTAAGGAGCCGACTCTCACCCCAGTTGCTCCACAGTTGACTGAACTTGCAGGACAGTGGCCCTCGAGGAACAGGGTTGGATACCCTGCACAGATGAACCTCTAGGACAGGACTCAGCCACATTAAAGATGGCTGCCACAGCTGTGACCTTATTGAAAATAAAAATGGCTACAGCTCAATCATTTGTGAGATAGTTTCATGTGGTAGTCGCAGAGACTCATCGACAACACACCTTTCCCAAAACACTGGCATTGACAACTGCAATCAACCTTGTCTGTCAGCAAAATATCTAACGAATCACTGAACAGCAAGTCCTGATGAAGACAGCTGTTTGAACCAAAGTTCATCTGAAGGAAACTCTGGAAACATCTGGCTTTTTAGTCCCTGAACTCACTGGAGTGAAGCACTGCTTAGTGCTTTGGTGATTTCTGGTTAAACTGTACCAACACAGGACTTCCTGCTGCAGAGTACAACTGTAGTGATACACGTGAGGTACGTGTCACTTGTTGTATGACACAATATATGAATTATATATGCATACAATATTCACGAGTTCTTCATTTTTCTGACTGTAAATGCCGTGCATTGAATTTAACAGAAATGTGAACGAGAGACGTTATTTATCTTTGACCCATCAAATGAATGGAATCATTTATTTTCAAAATCAAAGTTTAACATCAAACATTTACATTAATTTGGCAAAATATGAAAATAATAACAGACAGTTTCACAGAAAATGAACTTCAAATCACTCGGCGGTGATTTGAGGACTTTGCTTCAGACATTTCTAAAAATATCTGTACTGTTTTATGAGAGAGAGGTGAGTTTAAGAGTAAATTGAGATTTATCTTACAGAGGAATATGTGAGGGAGATTTAATCTGTTTAACCAGAAGTTGCACGCTTCGTCAGATCCTCAGCCCGTCCACGGTACACTTGAGTCGAAGAGGAAATCTTTACCTGGTTTGACGATGGATCAGCTCAGTAAGAGTCCTTCAGACTGTTTCAGCGCCTCCGTTCAGAACAGCTAGAAATCCTCGGAGAGTCGTGCGTGGTTAGTTCAAAACAGAATTATAATCCCAAAACGTCCCTGGTTCTTCATAACTCCAAACTCTTCATAACCGGCTGCACTCTCAATCTGCTCATTCTGTTGGACTATCGGACCTGTTGTCAGCTCCCAATCCAACATCTCTCAGAACTCTCAATCTCTTGGAATTCTGGAATTCTTAATTCTTCTCATTCTCCCAGACTCTAACATGAACTGAGAAGTTGCCACATTTTATTTGGGTCGACTTCCTGTTCAATTTAGAGCTTTCTGATTCGTGGAAGGACCAGAAAGAGGAGTGGATTTGTGACGTAAGATGTTATCATAAGTCAAGGATTGTTTACAACATACAGAAAAGATTATTGCAGCAACAGCAGACTTCGTGGAGTCTCACACTTTGTAATCTTTTCAAATAGTAAAACATGACATTTTTCTCGGTAAACATTTTAGTTGACCGAAAACCAACCTTTAACATACTTACGACAGCTTGCTCATTTCAGACAGAAAATCAAGAAAGGCATATTCAGGTGATTTCTTCTCTGAATGAGGAACAAAAATCATTACTTACTGTTTATGTAAAATAAAATTAGTAGTTCTTTCCAACCTGTAAAGCATTGAGTGAACTAACACAATTTGATTATCAAAACATTTGTAAGACAGTAATGATTATAAAGAATTGTCTTTTCTGCTTGATTAATTCAAGAAAGAAAGTTCATCAGATGGTTCAGACTTATTCAGATCAATGAAAATAACAGTCTCTGTCCATCTGGTAGATTTGAGGTTATCTGGTTCACTACACAACTCTGCTGTTCAAATACAAGTACAACACACACACACATTGTATACTGAGAAAACTTTTATTTTGAAATGACAGGACCATCTGAACGAAGGACGACAACGACACGGAGGTGGAAACAGTGTGAGGGTCTGTTTCAGGTCCGGTGGTCCCTGAAGTACTCGTGGTAACTCGTTCACAGGTTTTAAGGCGTTTCACACAGTTGGCATGAAGGATGACTGGTCTTAATCCATCTAGCAGCAAATTCCCGTAGTCAGATTCCGTATTTCTGCTTCAGCTCCTCCACCAGCTGGATGTACTCATTCATGGCGTCCTCTTTGCTTTTGCCTGACGAGAAGAGTTGCAGAACATTTCAACGCTCAGTCAAGGTTGTTGCATAAAGTGGATATACTCACAGACACGAGTCTTGTGGTTTGGTGAGTTTAGTGAATTTGGCCTTTGATTTGTACTTTGAACAGTTTCTCAATTGTTTTTGTTCATGACAGAATTAACACTAAGAGCGTTCAACGCAACGTTCATAAAAACACCCACTCAACTCGCTGTGGGATTATAAAAAAACACAGCCCTAAACTTGTGGGAATTATTGGCTTCATTTGTTCTACTTTCTAAAGATGTTCAGTAAAACCGAGACTCGGTAAACTGCACCAGACCTAATGTATTACCTCACTGGGCTGGGACTGTTGGGAGACTAGTTGGTCCTCAGACTTCTCAGGAAATTGGGAAATTATGCAGATTTTTTGTTGCAGTCTTGACAAATGTTAAACGGCCGCCCGTCCACAAATCTGCAGCCAGCTCTGCGTTTGTGTTTCGTAAGAGGGAAACTGAAGTAAGGGAGAATTCAGTTACGAAACGACGGGAAGACACATGTGTTTGGTAGGAAACCAGACAGAACCTCAATGAACTCCACATCCAGACTAAGGAGATCTGGACATTTGGTGAGCTCAGACTGTCATCAGTGAAGGTTTACGTGAGGCAGACAGGTTCTACATTTACATCATGAGATATCAGTGACAAAAACCAACATTAGTGCCGTTTACACACCTTTCTGTTTCTCCCAGGCGTCCCATTTAGCTTTCCCCGTGAAGTCCAGCATCCCTGGACGAGCTGGGCAGAGAACACACGTGGAAACATAATTGAACCGCCTGTCTGTCTCCATTTGAGTGTTTCAATGAATGACTGCTACATCGTGCTGCCTTGTGTCAGCACCAGCAGGTGAAATGGTGACTTTCAGTTTCAGTTTGGAAGAAGCCCCACGCACCTGTGTTCACGTCACCCACAGAGGCCTGCTTGAACAGAGAGTAGAGCTTCAGCATCTCGTCGTCCTGAGGTTTGGTCTTCAGCTGCTTCACCTCGGCTGCTGCAGCGTCGAACTTTACCTGCAGAGAACAGAAGACCACGTACAGAGTCGATACACACCGACTGTCTGCATATACGAGCATACTGTCCGTTATACATAAAACATTAATAACCAGAGGTGCTGTGTAAATGTGGGTCACCTGTAGAGGGGCAGTAGTTACACAAGAGTCAAATGATTATGGTCAGACTTTAACCCTAATCCAGCTGTAAAACTGTTCAGCAGTGACTGAATCTTTGTCCCAGTGAATCTAAAGGTCATAGTGTTTTTATTGTAGTAATGCTATTTTATATACTTTTGTTATATCACGTTATTTTAGAAATCACCAGAACTTTTGACTATCAGAAAAACAAATGTTTAATTGATCATAAAGTGTAATCAGTGAGGAAAGTGCTGAAAACTGTCGAGTCTGGTCCTTTTTGTCCCTTCGCGGTTCCCGTAAGTGGCCGTAACACCGTGTGTCGCGCGCAGCTAAACTCTGTCCGTCTCGTTTGACGGAGGCCGGGAGGAGTTCGGTGTCGGAGCTGGTGGTGTAAAACACGTTCGGCAGCATGAATCCTGGAATGAACGCGTGAATTTCATTCAAACTTTCCACGGGTCTGAATGAATTTACCGGACACGAGCCGTCGTTCTGAGTACATCGAGATCAATATAAAGAATCGCGCGGGTGCACACGGTCCGTTACCACGCAAACAAACAACTACCGGAACGCATCGTTTCTCAACAACTAAAGAAATCTTCTTTAAACCGCGCACATCACGTGTAGTGTGTGGTGCAGCCACCGTCCATGTTGGTCCGGTACCGACGCTCCACCAGAACTTCTCGGCTGCATTATTCTGCTTTAACGGGTCGCAGCGGGATAAAGTGTCAAAACACAAACCTGATCCGCCATCTTGAGTTGGTCGGGGTCGCAGGACGTGGACAGAACCGCTGATGTCCTCTGACTGCAGGGTAAAGTGCACCGGCTCCTCCCACCATCAGACCACCGTTATCTCTGCACAAGAGGACACGCCCTCCTCGACCCTAATTGGCTGATCTCACGAGTGGGCGTGGTTCGTAAACCGGAACTAGGGTAGCGACTACAAACTAACTTTAAAACTGAAATTTATGCAAGAATCTTTTACCACAAACCCAGAAAAAACTTTACATGATCATGACCACCACTGCACCCAGTATTCACTGGTTAACTGGTCACCATTAACTTCACACAGACTCTCTCACTGGTACATTTTCATCTTTAAATCACTTCCTGGTCTGCTGCCTTCATACATCTCCTCCTACATGTCTCTGCGTGAGTGCAGCTACAGCGTGCGCTCTCAGGACATCATTACCTGCAGTGTTCCCTCAGTGAGGACTGAACTAGACAAAAGGACCTTCTCCTACTCCGCTCCTGTTTCCTGGAACATCTTGTAAAAAGATCTGAAGCTCTCGACCTTTGACCTCTCTAAGTGGCTTTAAGAATCTGTTGGACTCCTGGCAGGGACCAATGCAGACATGTTCCTGTTTTTAGTTTTCTACATTCGCCTTAGAATCTAGAAGTTTTTTTTTTTTACCTTTTCCTTTTAGCCATCCTATTTGTAAAACAAAACAAAAAACCTGTAGTATGACTATTTATAATTGTTTATTGTTGTTGCTGTTGTCCATTGTTGTCATCTATCTTTGTTTCATCTTTCCTGCAGAGGAAACTCATTTCAACCTCCTGGATCCATGATCTCATTTTTTCAGTCTCTACCAGAGTTCATGACCAGAGGTGAGGGGAGGAACGTAGACCGACCAGTAAACAGAGAGCTTTGTCTTACAGCTCAGCTCCTCTTCACCACATGGGACCGGCACAGAGTCCACAATACTGCAGAGGCTGCACCAATCCATCTGTCAGTCTCACGCTCCGTTCTTCCCTCACTCATGAACAAAACCTGGAGATACTTGAACTCCTCCACTTGAGGCAGAACCTCACCCTGGACCTGAAGAGAACAATCCACCCTCTGATGAGGACCATGACCTCTTTATGTCATCATTCTTTTCATCATATCTCTCTCACCTCATTCACAATCTTTATCTGTTAGTAAAATATGTCCTGAACCACAGGACAGATTTTAACCAAACCTTTAGAAAGTAATCATTAGACGTTCAACAGATTAACGTTTGGAGCCAACCCAGTTCAAGATGGCCACCACAGCTCAACACGTAGTTTACCTCTTTCAGTTTTAAAGACTTTAAGCTAACATTTGGTGTGGTAGTAGCTGACGGTCGTTCTTAACACATATTCTGAGTGCGACACTGCACAATATCATAGGAGATTGCTCATAATGGTATTTTCAAGGACGACAAAAATGGACACTATTCCTTCATTTCCCAACTAAAGGATATTTTAGTCTAAAGTTCTGTATATAATAATAAGTATATAATAATAAGTATATAATAATAATACCACAAGTACATAATAATTATATAATAATGGCGGAGGGCGATGTGCCTCCTGGTCTTGATCTGGTCCGTTTGTTCTTCAGTTGATGTTCACTTGCAAGCTGAACATTTGTGACGGCGCTGCTTCTGTCATTTAGTAACTTCGATCCAGGTATTTGTAAGTTTCAGAGGTTTTAATTGTTCTGAGGAAGTTTCCGCCTTTAAGCAAATCACTTGGTCGCTCCACGTTTTCCTTCGGTTCACCCACTGCTCAAACTGAAACATGTTGCGCTGAAAATACTGGAACTCAAAACAGAAAAACCCAGCAGTCAAAATTTATTGAACATATTCTGAAACATCTGCAACACAAGAGTCCACGGTACCATGTATCAGAACCCGCTCAGCAGACAATAGGAAATATAAAAAGCATACAACCATGCTGCTGTACACAGCTGTGGTATAAAAACAAGACATTAAAGAATAAATAAAACCATGTGTATGAACAGAGGCCCAGTTTGCTGGATCTCCACCTTCTTGACCTGCTTGAATGTTTTATTCTTCACCCCTGGCTGGAACAGTTCGTTTTGGTCACCAGGTGCTGTGGGGGTTTGCTTTGTACAAACCGTAGTCTTCTCTCCTGAAGAAGGCCACCTCCGTCTCATTGGCTGGAGAGGAAAACCACAGAACATCCAGATGAAACTAACCTACTCACCAACATGAATACTTAGCCACTAATGTAGGTGCAGAACACAACTAGAGCCGAGCTAGGCCCCACAAAGTTCTTTTCATTTAGTTTCACATTAAACCCATTCACTCTTAAAACAACAAGCTTTACGCCGAGGGATGTGAATAATGAATGTTTGACTCTAGTGAGGAGTGACTCCGCTGAGGAGTGATTGATGAGGGGTGACTCCGCTGAGGAGTGACTCTAGTGAGGAGTGACTCTAGTGAGGAGTGACTCC